GCTATGAACATTTAAATTTAGTTATACATTTAACTATTAATTGCCAATATCTCAAATATGAGCTATATACTTATTTTCTTTAATAAACCAATTCTTTTCTGCCTTCCATCATTAGCTTCTATTTATTTCGTATGATCGGGGTGTTATGCTATTTATCTTAAGCTATCAAAAAATGTATGTTTATTTTAGTTCACCTGTTATGTTGTATAGTGCCATTATTTGCCTTGATTAGAACCCCACTTCCACTTAAATTCAAAGTGTGTTCTGCACAGATATAAGGTGAAAGGTTGAGAATTTGTCACTGTGTCGATTTCTCACTCCTATAAAGTCTGGTAATGGCTTCTGTCGACTCGACGGGAAATTGTATTTTCGTTTAGTGTCTTAGGAGTTTTATGGGTCTACTCAATTGTACTTCTACGCTCTCTAGTTTCCTTTAAATAACTATAGTATAGCTTTGTTTCTAATAAAACGGTATTGACTCTTTTACAATGTAAATTTATATACGTCAAATTCGGGTTTTCTGTGTACAGCTCGTGACATCTAAGCTGGCACTTGGCCGATCGCTACTAGTACCTTTTTCAAAAACATTATGTCCCGTCATGCGGGTAGCATCAACTGTCCTCGCGACCCATATGAAGGCGCTCAAGTACATAATAAAAGGGGAATCAACCCCGTGAGGCAGCGGAAATGTTTGCAGTCCGGTCTTTTCCCTACCTCCACCCTCCTCCCGTCTACACTGCCCGTGCTAGGCCAAGTGCCAGCTTAGGTGTCACGAGCTGTAACTCTCTACCTTTTCTGCCATCTTACTTAAACAGTTTTTTATCATCCTGCAGCAAAAATAGGCCGTTTTCAATGCATTTGTTGCGGTTTTAATAGTATATTTCATAACAAGAGTATAAAGAGAGTCATACCATATTTGAGACCATGTTTGAAGTGCGAAATCTATCGAGCACTTTAAATGGTCGAGATAAGTATATACCCACTTTTCCTCGTGTTTTAAACGTTACTTTTCGCTACACTAAAAAGACTAACTATTTTCTTAATTAAATCATACTTTGGATATTCCTTAGTTACAGTTAGGAACATTACAAAACACACAGCATTTTTAGATATTGCCTTCAATTCAAATATTTACTTTGGTTGTACAGTTTTGGTTTTTAAAAATTGAAACAGTTGACAAAACTAACAAATCTTTGTTTCTTTACGTCGGCAAAATCCAAAAAAGATAGTAAACATTACTTTCGCATAGTAAACATTGTTTTTCTGAGGTAAACAATGTAATGATGAATTTTCACATGAGATAACATGTAACGAAAACACGTCATTTCAGAGTAGTGTAGCAAAAATTAGTATTTCTACTCTCTAGTGTGTAAAAAGGGTTTTAGCCCCAAGTGAATTAAGGCTAGCAGTACACTATCGCCGAATGTTCGGCCGAACGTTTCGCCGGCTTTATGACTCGAGTTGCTACGACGAATGGTGTCGAACGTGAACCACGAGCACATCCAGTACACTATCGCCCATGTTGGCCGAAAATGCTTGCTGGTGGTTAAATACATATTTTACTTCCGGCACTCACCAGTCGCCAGACACTATCGTCGCCGGACACTCGCGACACTATCGTGCTGGCCTTCGCTTGCCTATATTCGGCGATAGTGTACTGCTAGCATAAAAATCAGCTGTTGTAAGCTCCTTTGTAGATTTCGATTGTAAAAAATCACATGTATTGAAGGTATGTTTCGATTGTTTGTTCGTTTGTAGCTTATAGTGAACCTTAAGCCTTATTGCAAAGAGTTCAACATATCTATCAACATTTCAGTTGATAGTTGCATAAGCCTTCTCAATCTGCATTAATTGGTTTAAAAATCATTCTACATTTTGATGTCATTGTTTTTACTCCATCAGCTGCCTTCGATGAGCTTTATTGTCATGGAAACCAATCATCCGCTTTGTTGATTATTGGACCATTGGAAACAATTAATTGCTGATCGTTGCGGCATGAGCTTCAGTATGTATAATTGAGTTGGATCTGAAGTCATGTGTAGCGATTTACAAATTCCTTTCCCAGATGATGTGAGCTAGGCGATGACCGGTAGGGCTGACTTCCAAGAAACATCGTTAACCTATAAGCCACACACCCTATCGGTAATCAGCCAATGAGAAGGGCTAATGAAGAAGATGGAGGGGTCAGGAGTCTCGGAGCTGGAGGACCTGGAGAGGACAATCGAGGAGATCACCACGGGCCACGGGACCAAGAAGATCAGGAGTTTCGGAGTGCGTGTGCTTCAGGGACAATAAACAGTATGTAAAAAGAATAAAATATATAACTAAAGTTTTGTGAAACAAACGAGTCATGTAATTTGTCAGTAACTAATTCTTTTAAAATTTCAATTGATTTTCTTTTCTTGTAAATTTAACGTTGTAAATTAATTTATCTTACTATTGTTGATTTTTGCCTTTTCACAGTTTTCTTTTGCTGTTGTAACACTTTGTAGCCTTTGTTGTTTTTCTAGATTTTAATTTTTTTTTATCATTACACGTTGAGTAACACCCTTAAGCAGTCTTAAGTCTCATTGACCTAACACCTCTTCACTAAGCTAAGCGAGTGAAACATTTTAGGAAACTTAAATTTAAGAGTTTAGGAACTTTTAATTAAAGAGAGAAATAGAGAGAGAGATACTATATTTTGAGTTTAGTGGTTTACAGAATATTCTTTGTGACGGTTTAAATAAACAGTTTTCTAAAATATTATTAAGAGAACATGCAGGGTTTTTATCGCATGCAAAGTAAACGAATTGATATTTACTATGTGATGCACACTTAGATCTGGGCTTAAATATGGAGGATGATAAAGCAAGATTGGAACGCAAAATTGAAAAGAGATGAAATGATGAAGCCTTGAAAGTATCTTGCTCGACAAAAGAGGCTGTAGATGGGATGAGAAATCATAATGTATTTCTTTGGGCTAGTGTAAAAGATCTGGATTCAATACAAATACAGTTTTTGTCACTTACATACAAATTGAACCCTTATGCTATATTATACCGATTATTTATGTTACAACTTATTGTTAGAAACAGTATTTGTAGTTTTTTACAATCACTTAATACGAATCCTCAACATAAATATTATTAGCATGACCCCACTTAACTCTTGTAGAAGAATAAAACCCAGTTAATAAGTATAAATTATTTTTCACCATACTACGATGTTTTACCCGTTTATTGGAGGCCAAAAGCTATGTATTGCTGTCAATGGCAGCTGTCATCGTCATTTGAGGACCGAGCAGGTTTTTACATCCCTAGGGCCGAAAATCAGCTGCCCTCCTAATTTCTTAAAACATTAATGCATATTAAATACACAATCAGGATCCATAGCGTTGCAATAGAGCTTTTTTATTATTAACCGCTGCCTTGCAACTATTTATTATTATTTTTAAAGATTCCATAAATTATTTTTTCACATAACCTTAAAGTTGTAGTTGTGTTGACTATATTAGTGTGCATTATTATAGTGGTAGGCCTAATAGGGTATAGATTGGTGAAAATAGCGTTCGTACCTTGGACCGAAATGGGTTTGCAGCTCTCGATCGTTAAAAATTATCTCGAGTCGGCAAAACGTCATTTTTGGCCCTAAGTACGAAATATACTATTTCGGCTGTTTGATTACTGTCATCTATCAAAAATTGATTGTTATTTTTATAATCAAATGTATCAATCTTACTAATGATTTGTGATTTGTGCATTATAGTACACAAGAAATCCAGATATTTATAAAAGGCAAAACCGTTCTCTCAAAGTCTCATTATCGATATGTATAAAAAATTACTCATCGTAAGAATTTAATAAATATAATAAGTGACTTCTATCCATGCGTGCTCCATGCGTGCAATAAGAATACTGTAGTTTAGATTATATTATATTGGAGCTATGTACCATTGTCATTTAAAAGTTACAATGTTATCCTAATTATTTTATTTTAGACTAGCTGAGCACCCGTCCTTCGTACGGGGTTGGCATATAAGTATAAAATGCTTATTGCAGTTTTACTCAAGCTTTGCGTTTGCAATGGGGGGAGGACACAGTTTGATAAAATTTGGTTCATAAATTTACGGTATGATAAAGTATAACACATATGCCATTGCCATAATGTTCTACCACTGCACCTAAACAATAGAAAAAAATAATCATCAAACATTCGCAAAATATCCCAAATTATTCATAAATTAAAAACTCAAACCTAACTGTGAACAATCGTACTTTGACAGTTCTCATTGTGTATCACAGCTTTTTGTTGCTGCTATGTTCAAATTAGCTGTTGTCATATGCAAAAACAAAATAACAATAGTGCTGCACCCTGTTGGGAAACCTTATTACTTTTTAATGCTATTGCATATTATAGAACCAACTTGTAAAGTTGAAACAGCTGACTAAATTCTTTAATTCCCTTTAAATATGAATACTCATAAGGTTAACATGGGAGTGCTGCACCCTGTTGGGAAACCTTATAACCTTTTATTGCTATTGCATATTATATAACCAACTTGTAATGTTGAAACAGCTGACTAAATTCTTTAAAAGATTAATACTCATAAGGTTGGGGAACTACAGAACAACTGGAGGGGTGTCCGAAAGGATTTTTCAGATAAGAATATGCCTAAATGTTAGCTATCATCATGCCAAATTTCAGCCCAATCTGTCCAGTAGTTTATGCGTGATTGAGCAACACACAAACACACACACCCACACACACACTCACACACTCACACGCACACACACACACACACACACATACATCACCTAGAAAACAACTTTTTTGGTCTAGAGGGGCCCAAAAATTATATATCCACTCAAAGCTCAAACTCGAAAATTTTGACGAAAACAAAACATTTTCCATAAACTATGTATAGGGGGAGCATTCAATTTGAAGCTAATAGCTTCATCCGGTTGTTATCTTTGTAAATTATTGGGAACGTAAAGGTTAAATAAATTTAATTTTAAAATTGGATTCTTTATTTGATTTCTAACACGTTTAAGCAGTTTGTCTTGCTCAGAACATGTGTCGTCTTTCTTGGAATCTGTTTGTTGCTGGATTTAGCAATTGTCTAGATTAAATTTTTCAGTGGCTCCTGGTTCACGTATCTCGAACAACTGAAAAGTAGCAAATAAATTAGCTGTGGTCAACCCACAAAAACGTAATAGAGTGATTAGTATATGTAGTATTCTTTATACTGTATATTATCAGCTGTTGTCATTAATTAAAAAAGAATGTTTACCTTTTCAATTTGCAGTTGTAAATATTACTTTCAATAAAAGAGTTTATTCAAATGCGTGCTTATTATGAACTCTAATTCAAAGTCACAACAATTGGCGACGAGAAAAAGTTTTTCAAAATTTCTACTCATTATTTGGATTTAAACCCTTTTCTAAATTTCGATTTTGTACATTATGGATACAGAACGATTTACAGCACTACTGAAAGCATTCACTGAAAGCCAAGTCACACTTGCACCTACACTTGCAACGAAGATCACAGAAAAACTTCAACTTCAACCTCCAGTACAGCAGAGTAATACGTTAGTAAGTATTCAACCATTTGAAAATTTCGATCAGAAAAAGGAAAAATGTAAAAACTATTTGGAACGCTTTGAAAATTATCTTGCTGTCAAAAACATCTCAGATGAAGGGAAAAAAGCACAACTTCTTTGCGCTTCAATTGGCTCTGTTCACTACAATAATCTTTCATCATTAATTGGACCTGAAAAACCTATCAAAGACCTAGATTTTGCTACTTTGGTCAAATCACTACGTGACATGCTTTCACCACACAGAAACGTTGTAGTTTCACAACATTACTTTTTAAACACTTATCAAAAAGCAAATCAATCAATTCCTGAATACATAGCTTCACTACAAAAAGACCTGTCTGAATGTGAATTTAGAGTCCAGTGTGAATGTTCAAAACAAGTTTCAGTCTCAGATACATTTTTAAGAGCTCAATTCATAAGAGGCTTAAAAGATGACTGGATTCGAGAACAGTTATTACAATCAGACACTACTTCATTCAAAGACGTTGTAACCAAAGCTACTGCTTTGGAAGCTTCCCGATTAGAGACCCAGGCTTTGAACAAACATCAGCATTCAATTCCAACTGATGTAGATATCAATAAACTTTCAAATGTAGGTACAAAACATCAGAGAAGTCGTTCAAACTACCGTAAGAATCCAAATTCTGGTCATACTTATCGTTCTCAATCAAAAGTAGATTTCAATCGCCTAGGTTTTGGAGATCTTTGCTTTCGATGCGGTAGAAGGTTCGTTTCAACGAATGTGAAGAAGTACCTAATCAAGTTCCCATAATTCCACAAGTCCCAATGCAAGTACCCATACTTCCGCAACAGCAAGTTCCTATCCAAGTTCCAGAATTAGTCCAATTACCAGCTGAAGAGAACTTACAACCAACATCACCACGACCACGAGTACGATGTTCAACCCGCACTCATAAAGCTCCAGATTACCTTAAAGACTATGTTACAAAATGAGTTGAAAATAAGTCGGGGAGATTGTAGTATTCTTTATACTGTATATTATCAGCTGTTGTCATTAATTAAAAAAGAATGTTTACCTTTTCAATTTGCAGTTGTAAATATTACTTTCAATAAAAGAGTTTATTCAAATGCGTGCTTATTATGAACTCTAATTCAAAGTCACAACAGTATACATTGTTTAGCACCATGTGCTTTGGAAAATATGTTTTCCCTCCAAATAAGACCACATTCCACTTGTTTGAAAATACCAAAGTTTACCCAACTTACATACCCAAGTTTAGCAATTATTGATTCAGTAAGAATAATAATAAATAGTCCAAGGATATACGTGACCAATATACGTGATCAAACCCACCATGGGGCCTACGTCATGGATGACCCAGGTTCAAATGTGTCATATAAATATGATGCATTGTGAAATCAAATATATGTGTTTTACTTTCTCCAAAATGTTTATTTAATATCATATCATCTTTCACTTTTCTCATGGCGAGGTCACATAATACTTAATGACATTCTACACTTGTACAAATGATTCTTTTTTTACACAGTTATGAAATACATAACTGTCCATAGTTATGAAAAATAAATTATAATCAATTTACAATGAACAATCATACAAATCATAAAATGAACATCATGATAAGAGTACAAAAATAATAGACCGTTTTTACTTATGTCTATTTTATCGTAAGGCTTCTCATTTAAGCTAAAGTGTTTTGCTTAAAAATAGAACAAAACCAGAATTTTAATTACTATAGTATTCGGGGAAAAAACTAAAAACTTAATTTGAGCATGCAAAAACACACAAGGAAAAACATACAAAAATCAAGGAATCTTAGTGAGTAACAACAACTAAATACATTTTATGTTGCTTAGTGAGTTTAAAAATGTATATATCTATTAAGGTTTAGTTACCAGTAAGTTATTTTGAAGAAAAACACATAGTAATACCTATGGACAAACATAGTTTTAGTTTGTATATACTTTATACGGTTTTAACCTTCATTAACTTTCCAAAAATAATATTCAAGAGATTTCTAACATACCTTTGACCTGTATTCAGTGAAAAATGCAGGGTATTGTTTCGGAACTCCTCGATTTGGACAGAGGCTCTTTATTGACTCTTTGCCGACGAGATCCACATGAACAACAAGCACAACGACCGGGACAGCTTCAGAGTAGTATACACCTTCATACGACTTGTAAAAACATAATAAAACTCATTATGAATACTATGGTAGATACATTTGTGTGCACCATATTGAAAGTGCCTTCTATTGATAGTGCTCTGATAGTGCATTCTACTTACAATGCATTCTACTCTGATAGTGCATTCTACTTATAGTGCATTCTACTCTGATAGTGCATTCTACTGATAGTGCATTTTACTAATAGTGCATACTTATAGTGCATTCTACTCTGATAGTACATTCTACTTATAGTGCAATCTACTCTGATAGTGCATTGTACTTATAGTGCATTCTACTGATAGTGCATTTTACTGATAGTGCATTTTACTAATAGTGCATACTTATAGTGCATTCTACTCTGATAGTACATTCTACTTATAGTGCAATCTACTCTGATAGTGCATTGTACTTATAGTGCATTCTACTGATAGTGCATTTTACTGATAGTGCATTTTACTAATAGTGCATACTTATAGTGCATTCTACTCTGATAGTACATTCTACTTATAGTGCAATCTACTCTGATAGTGCATTGTACTTATAGTGCATTCTACTGATAGTGCATTCTACTAATGGTGCATACATATAGTACATTCTTTATGTACTAACTACTCTTTATGTGCGTTCTTTGTGTTCTAAAAACGATGGATTATTTGTATTAACAGCTATTGATATTAAAACACATAGTTACATAGAGCTATTATATTGTTAGCAGAATATTAACAAACGATACAATGATGGCATTATCATGGTTATATTAAAGAATACGTTAAGCCATAGCGAACGCAATTTCTGCCTTATTTCTTGTCAATTTTAACATTTGTGGTGTCAAAAAATTTGAGGTTTGACGTTAGTTTTGACTAAAGTTAAAGAGCATTATATACATTTTAATGTTTAAAGCGGCAAGATTATATTTTAAATACAACAGTTAGTAGGCCTAAACCATATTGCCCCAGTATTACATGTGATACACAGTCACTAGTTTATAACGCTTGATTCACCTCTAGCCATCGAGCAAATCGGACGGGGAAATGATTAACCCCCCCCCCCCCACGTGATTTATAACCGTCCAAAAATACCTGCGGGCCTTTGGACACTAGTAGTAGTAGGCCACCGGTCGTACTGTTTTACGCAATATTTCAGACCGTCCAAAAGGATTAGGGGGTTGATCTGTTTTGGGCACTGGGCTTAAGTCAGGTAAGAAATTATTCTCTTTTGTGCATCGAGCCCAGAGGAGCGCCCAGGTATCCCCTCAGACAATTATCATTTGCGCTTTTTGGTCACATATTTATTAAAATAAATGCTTTTGTACTCTATGAGGCTTGTAATTACAGCTTTATCGTCAATTACGTTTGAGTAATCTAATATGCAAAGCTGAATGGGTCAGATTACGGCTTCCTGATGCTGTCTTATTGAATATCACACTCGATTGTGTGAACAACATTTCTAATAAAATTCGGTTTCATAGCCCTAGGATTGCGTTTTATGACAAATAATGGCTGAACATACCGCGTCAGGCAATCCTTGACATTTAGTATCTACGTAGTATAAACGTGCTACATATCTTTTGGTGGTTATTTATTTAGCACCACCATCACCAGGCTAACAAAATGGAAAATAAAATGGATCCTCTTGTTAGCCTGACGATAGCGGAGTTATATAAATAAATGCCGCAACTTATGTAGCATGTTTTCGATTTCGAAACTACTTACATGTCAAGGATTGTCTGACGAAATATGTTTAGCCATTCTTTGTCAACATTTCTACGTTATCATAGTACTCACTCATAGTACGATGTCGCACTTAAGTACTGTATTAAACTTGTTTTTCTATGGTTATATTCTAAATATCATATTGTAGACGCATTGAAAAATTACACAGTATACTAAATTCATTATATTTATGGCTACAATTCTTGACTCGGTTGTAGGTTTGATTTCAAATTTGCGGCATCATACTTACAAATAGTTTTTTCAAGTGGGGAATACCGCTACCTGGCCTGATGAAAGAGCAACAAAAAAGGGATTAAGTGACCCTTGCTAATTCTTCTGGAGAGTCTAGAATGGTCAATGATCACATAAGACCAATAGATGGAGGACGCCTATCTAACTAACATTCAAGCAGCTGAAGCAAAAAAAACTAATAAAGTGTGGTTTTTAGTAAAATATTAATAGCTTAGTAAATAATAAATACATTTGCCTAGTTTCCCTTGTAACACAAATATGTATTTTATAAATATTTTATATATTCAAAGTTATATTTGATAGAACCTCGAATAAAATATATAAATAATATATCTTTAATAATAGTTTGATATATTCAAATATATATTTATAATATTACCAAATAGCAATGCAAAATATCAATTAAATATATTATATATATATATATATATATATATATATATATATATATATATATATTAAATTTATATTTTTCCTATTAAATATTTAACAATTTTATGTTTTGAGAACATTTTAAAATATAATATTTTTGAAACTGTATTATATATTTCATGTATTTATAAATATATTTAAGATATATATTTTGAAAAACGTCAGATATTTTTATTAATAAAACAATAATATATTTGTAGAATATAGAGGGTGGCTGAAAAGTAACTTTTGAGATATTTGAAATCAGTTTGCGGCAACCTTCTTAGATATGAGGGGCTACAATAATTATGGCCAATTTTGAAAATTTTGCCCTTAGGAGTAGTGGGGGTAGAGGATAGCTTAAAATTTTCAAATAGTATAGAAATAATTATTCAAGTATAGTCGAGTTTGGTATCATTTTGTAGGTCTCGACGAAACATAAACATTGACATAAAGAAAACCAAAATCGGCTCACTAATAACAAAATGGCGCCCTAAAATGTTTCAAATCCAAATAACCATGAGGGTGTCAAAAAAATTAACTTGCACCCTCTTTAACTTTTTAACTGTATGAGATATTTGAAATCGGTTTGCGGCAACTTGTTTGGATACAAAGGGCTACAATAATATTTGCCCTTAGGGGTAGGGGGGTAGCTCAAATTTTCAAATAGCAAGTATAGTCCAGTTTGGTATAATTTTGTAGGTCTTGACGAAACATAACAATTAACACAAAGAAAATAGAAATCGGACCATTAATAAGAAAATGGAAGTTCAAAATTACTTTAAATAACCATTGCCTCAATCATTTTTAGCTGCTATTTTGTTATTAATTGTCCGATTTCTATTTTCTTTATGTTATTTGTTATGTTTCGTCAAGACCTGTAAAATGCTACCAAACTCGACTATGCTTGCTATTTGAAAATTTTGAGCTACCCCCTACCACCGCTACCCAAGGGCTAAATTTTGAAGACTGACCAAAATTATTGTAGCCCTTCATTTCCAAACAAGTTGCCGTAAACCGATTTCAAATATCTCAAATAGTTAAAAATCTAAAGAGGGTGCAAGTTAGTTTTTTTTGCCACTCATGGTTATTTGGGTTTGAAACGTTTTTGGACGCCATTTTGTTATTAGTGAGCCAATTTTGGTTTTCTTTGTGTCAATGTTTATGTTTCGTCAAGACCTGTAAAATGATACCGAACTTGACTATACTTGTCATTTGAAAATTTTGAGCTACCCCCCACCCCCGCTACCCCTAAGGGCAAAATTTTCAAGATCGACCATAAATATTGTAGCCCCTCATATCTAAGAAGGTTGCCGCAAACTGATTTCAAATATCTCAAATGGTTGAAAAGTTAAGGGGGGTGCAAGTTACTTTTCAGCCACCCTGTATATAATCTATCTTAATTGGCAAATTAATTAATAGCAACTTTTTATTTTTTTATAGTGTCTATCAGTTTATACATGCATTTTTTATGAATGTTGCGAATGTGAAAGCGTTAAAATTAAGTAAATAATAATGCATACTCTGTATGGTGTCACTATATCACGCACGTAAAGAAAAAAATACGCATATAGTTAAGAGGGAGTATACATGTTCGACAGCTACATGTGGGTCAAACGAAAAAGGTGTTGATGGGTTTTATTTTTTTAATTGCAATATGTGACAATGAATGTGATCATGGAAATCTCGAATTATTGGCTACAAAGCAAAGGGTGCTAGTGACTGGTGACCTTTTAAGGAACTAATGAAGATTGTATATGTTGTTCTAAAAATAGTTAATTGATTTACTTATGTCATAAACTACCTAATATTGGTTATAGTATTTAAATAAACTTTTGTAGTTTACTGTATTTGTATCCGCGGGCACTGCTCACGATTCACTACAGCGTTATTCAACTCAACTAGTTGATGCCTAAACAGATTAACTCATATTATACTGTAGTTATCAAAAATATATTTATTGCAACTGTATTGCAACTACTCTTTCACCATTTTAAAACTGAGACTATCAACAATCACAGATAGCTCAGAGGTAAGGTAAGAGGCTCATAAGTCAAAGAAATCAAGTTCGAGACCCATCTGGAAAAAAATCTAGTTCTTTTCAAAATCTGTTTTATGAACTATTTAATCAATATACTCAATTTATAATTGTGATTTTCATATAAATCTTTATTATTTTGTGTTTTTATGTTTAGGCCCCATGAGATGGTTTGGAGTGATATTATATACATTTTTATTTAAATATTATTCACTAAAATATATTATTGGAACATATTTTTGAATATAATTGATTCAAAAACATATTTTTTCGTGTTAAATATATTTTAAATATTATATAAAAGGCGCATTAATACGCACTTTCAATTTATACAATAGATTTTAAATATCTATTTAATATATTATTGTGCTACTAGGGGCTGTCATCAATCACGTATTTAGGTTATAAATAAATAATTAAAAACATTTGAAGGAAATCGTCGTTTTCGAGATCTTTGAGCAAGCATACAAGCTTGCATACATACATTCAAGCAAACATTGCTCATTAATAGGCGATGTATAGGCAATTGTATTCATTGGAATAGGATTGTTTGGGGGACTTCAACTATTTTCTTATGACATGAAAAATATGAATTC